GGGAATAATCCCAACCTCGTACCATTATATTGCGCATGGAGATAATGGGCTCAGTTATTGGGCTCATATATGTCACGATTAGGAAATAGTTAGGAATTGCTTCTAATGGCCATACAATTCCAGAAATCATCATTATTGCCATAGATAGGCCCATGATAGAAATCTGCAAAATAAATAAATTTTATATTTATTAAGCCAATATACAAAATAGATTATATTATAGATTATAATTTACCATGACTGAAACCATATGGGCCAATATTAAGGAAAACGCTAAACCTATAGCTATGCCTACCAAGGTCTGCAAGAAAAGTAACATAAATGTTTCCACCAAACTACCCTGATGTTCTACGTTGAACACGACAAATACTACCACCATGCTGATTACAACCAGGCCCAAACTGATGAGAATATTTACGACCACATGTGCCAGATAATACTCGTGCGATGTAACACCCGACACAAACACCCTTTCTATCGTGTTATTGGTTTTGGCGGTGACCATTAAGAATGCTGAAAGTAGCATGGGCATTAATAGGACGAGCATTACTAACATGGGAGCACCGAACAAGTCAAATGTGTTATACAAGTTTTTTAAATTGCCATGGTAGATTTGAGTTATTTGCAAGGGTGTAATCAAGTCGAGTAAATTAGGTTTGCCAACCTCATTCCCTAATTTGTCCATAAAGTTGGTGAACCCATTCATTAAGTATTTAACCGACATTAAGCCAATAACAGCATCTATAAAATACAATACAATTATTTAGTAGTTTTTCATTACGTTTTATATTATTGTAATTTTAGTAGTTTTATATGATTTCATATAAGTTCAATTATATGATCATGTCAATTTAAAAATACAACTATTTGGAAATTATGTGTTCGTATGTATGCCATACATTGTATGGTATTTATAATTGAAAACGAGAAAATTTATAATGATTACTAAAATGATTAAACAGAAAAATTAATTTAAGATACTTGATATATCCAGATATAAATGTATGAGGCTTTCCTCAACGTCCTCATCCGTAGCGCTGAACGGATCGGTCACTCGTGTCTCGAAAGCGTCGGAAAAGTTTTGTTTGAATTGAAGCGCCAAATAATTACGTCCATTGCGTACGGAATTGACGGCACTCTCGGGGTCCGGGTAATCCACAAAAGTTATGTGTTTGTCGTCTATTGAGTGAATCAACATCCGGGAAAGTCGTTGTGGGGATTCATCATTGTTATATACAGCGACTGAAATGCCATTGATATCCCGGCCCATAATCAAATTCAAAGCGCATAATGTTATAATTACCATGGTGTAATAACTGATTATGAATTGTGGTTTGCGTTTAATAAATATCCAGTACTTCATTAGCATTGCGTTAACGCGTGTCATGTCTAAGCGTTTACTACTAATGTTTGTAGTATTTATCAAATCGTTTTCAATGGGGGTTATATTACTTATGCCTAAATTGTTTGAATCATCACTACTTTGTTCAATAAAATTTGCGTTATTTTTATCCTTATTATGTTGATTGCAGAGTTGTAGGAACACCTCCTCGAGTGTTGAGCACTGGTATTCCGACATGAGTTGGTTGGGCGCCGACTGTTTCAATATAGTGCCGGAGTTCATGAACGCCACCTGAGCTGCACTCCGGGCCTCCTCTATATAATGAGTCGTTATTATCACTGTTTGGCCTAAATTTTAAACAAAATATTAATTATACTTATTATTTATTATCTCTTAAAATACCATTTGTTTGGCACAAGTTCTCCAAATACTGCCATATCTTATGCCTAAGTATAGAGTCGACCCCCACAGTGGGCTCATCCAGTATAATAAGTCTCGGTCTGTGAATCATAGTTATGGCGATCGAAACCCGGCGCTGTTGACCACCGCTTAACCGACTGATAATCCGTGACTTTTCCGGTAAATTCAATATTTCTCTCAAATTCGCAATTCTTTTATCAATTTCCTGACGATTCATGTGATATATAATTCCGTAA